AACTAATGCACTCAAAAATCTTGCTGATCTAATCAGTAACCAAAGTCAAGGCCCCATCCCTATTCCAACTTTTAGTGACAATGGTCATGAAGATCCTGTTACTTGGTTAGAAGAATTTGAACAAGCAACTAATGCTAATAATATGACTGATGCTAGAAAAGTCAGAATAGTAGTATCTTACTTAAGAGATATTGCTAGTCATTAGTATCAATTGAAAGCCCGCATAACTGCTGACTGGCCAACCTATTATTCTAACAGAGAACATACAGATCAATCTTTTAAAATCTGTTTTCTAGAAGAATTCCGTACTCAGACTCAAATTTTAGTCTGGCAACAACAGTTAAATACTCGCATTCAGGGTATTAATGAATCAGTTAGTCAGTATGCTGCTGATATACGCTCATTACTTCATAAAATTGATCCAGATGATGCATATTCAGCCCAATACAAAATTAGAGAATTTATCAAAGGTCTTCAACCACAATATGCCTTCTTCCTCAATCTAGATTCACCTGACACCTTTGAGAAAGCTGTTGACCTCGCTATCAAATCAAAAACTGGTTATAAGACAACATATAATAATACTCTTGTAACTACTGCTCAAAGTATTCCTCAACATTTTGAAATACCATTCTCAGCAGTACCAGTAGTAAATAATCAACCTGATATCAATGCTACTTTACTAGAATTGACAAAACAAATTAAGAATCTGACCACTAATAATAATAATTTACGTAATAATTCTCAACGCAATAATAATAATAATAGAAGTAATAATAGTAATAACAATAATACTTGTTATAATTGTGGAAAAATTGGACATCTAGCTCGTAACTGCTATAGTAACAGAAATAATAATAATAATAATAGAAATAATAACAACAACAATAGAAATCAAAACAACTATAACAATAGAAATAATAATAATAATTATAATAATTGTCAGTCAAGTAACTTTAGTCAAATTGAAGAAAGTAATCAACAAGAGGATCTACTTCAACAGTTACAACAGTTAATTCAATCCAACCAACAATTAACTACTAAAAATCAACAAAATTATTTAAACTAAATAATGCACCTTTAGAAGATAAGCGTGCAGTAGAAATAATAAAACCTTCAGCAAAACAAAAATTAAAATAATTATTAATTGAAAATCAAGAATATAACGAAGAAAAAGATAATAATGAGAAATTACCAGTTGACGCAGTGCATTGCATAGGAATTGTTGGAGATAAATCAGTCAATATTATCATTGACAGTGGATTAGTCAGTAATATTGTGTCAAAAAGATTCTTAAAATCTATTAATCAAACTATCACCAGCCCCTCAAATATTTGCTTGATTAGAATTAATGGCAAATCTGAAGTACCTCTAGGAGAAATCAAAGATCTACCAGTAATTATGTAGGAACAAAACTTCATCATTAATGCACTGGTACTTGAAAATGCAGAATATGATGTCCTACTTGGAAACATGTGGGCTTATCGACATGAAGCTATACTAGATTGGCCATCAAAAACTTTATCATTTACTAATAATAATACCTGACATAATATCTCAATTACCTGCACAAGTCATAGAAGATCAGTTGAACAGAAACAAGAAGAAGAAGTTTCTGTTTATGATGACTTTGACCTGGATGACTATGAAAATCTAGATGAAGAATACGAAGAATATGAAGAGTCAATAACTAAAGAACAGCCATTATTATATATTAATGAAAAGTCACCTGATCAACCAGCA